CTCGCTGGTGTTGATGATGTTGATTTGCTCACTAAGGTAACGTCAGGTTATGGTTGCCGTAAGCTGTTCAATTTGGTTGTTCTCAGAACAGCAAGTGTTCTCTCAAAAGTCACTGACTGGCCAGGCAACCATCATCATAAAGGTTGTTTGGTGGATGTACCAGGGATGCGGCGGTGCGGCGGCTTTTCTTCACTTCGCTTCGACGACGATACACCCGCACTGAATAAAGTGTCACACCATTAGCAGCAGCAACAGTTATGTCTTTAGTTGAGCTGAGGGGGCCGCCTGCCTGTCTCTCGTCTCCCCGTTGCCTTCTCATATCGTCTTCTTCTTCTTTGCCAATTTGTTCTTCCGATATCAGCAGCAGCAGTAGTATCCATTTCTGCGTACACACATCACAACCAGTGTGTGTGTGTGTGTGCTGGAGTGCCTGCGCCACAGATCGATGATTAGGTTGGCCAGTCTGTGTTTTGCTGGGCTGCTGCTTTAAATCTCTTTAAAGTCCCACTCCAGCATCAGCACTTCAATCACCGCTGCTGCTGCTGCTGCTGCTGTCATGCAGACAGGTGACACTTGACTTTTTCCATCACCAGCATTTACTCTGGTTGGATGACTGGTGTCCATGGTGACACTGGTNCACTCCAGCATCAGCACTTCAATCACCGCTGCTGCTGCTGTCATGCAGACAGGTGACACTTGACTTTTTCCATCACCAGCATTTACTCTGGTTGGATGACTGGTGTCCATGGTGACACTGGTCGTGGTGGTGGTGGTAATCAGCCTTGATGAGTGTGTCAATCGAACCTAAATAGAAGCGTAATGATGATGGGGTGGTGGTGGTGATTACTTCATCGTCTCGCTATCATCGTAGTATTTTCGAACAATGGCTCCACAGTGTTCATCAAATTAGGGTTCATCATCAGCCAATAATAGACTTCACTTCACGTGCTAATTAGGCGGAGAGGGGTAAGCATAGCACTAGTATGAGAAGATCGGTTTGGGTGATAAAACTGGCGAGAACGACTTCATCTCAGGGCAAAGGTTGAGCTTGTACAAAGAGAGAGATGCATGCTGTTGCCAAATAGTCTCATCTGGTACCGAGTACACGCTGTTCATTATCAAGAAAGCGTCTGGTTATGGAAAGCAAAAAATAGAAACAAGAACATCTCGCTCAACGAGATGGCTAACTCGGAGACATTTGTAGTAAAGTATTTATCGAAAGTAAAAGTGCGGTTAAACGAAACTCACCAGTATTTCTAGAGTCTGAGTACGCTGACATGACTCGAACGTATTTTCAAATCGTCAGATGTCTTCAAAGAGTAATCTTATTTAAAGAACCACCAAACGGAAAATAGAATTTGTAGAATTTGTTGCTCAAGACAAAATCGTTCAATCGGAATGCAAGAGAAATGGCATTTCAAATGCGATTTCTCTTACCGATGCAAGCGTAACGCTGTCTATGCGTGGGCAAACAACATCTCGTGCTGTTTACATTTTTTTCACTTTGCAAAACTGTGAATTTCATCATTCACAGGCATCTTGAAAGCATCATTGTCTGCGGAAGTATCTTCAGAAAGCCGGTTATCAACACCTCCCACAAAGATGTCCGATCCTGAACTGGAAGCAATTCGAGCCCGCCGAATGGCTGAGCTGCAGCAGCAGCACGGCAAACCTGGTGGCATGGGCGGCATGGGCGGACCGGGAATGAGTGGGGTAAGAAGTTGTGGATGAAAGAAGTGAACCAAAGTTCTCTTACATTCTCAAACAATCTTTTTGTAGGCTGACCAGCAAAAGGCAGTTCAGGAGCGTAAGGAGAAGGAAGAGGACATCCGAAACACCATTCTCTCGCAAATACTCTCTCAAGAAGCTCGCGCCCGATGTAAGTGTAGATTTGTGTTTTAGTTTGAACGTTCAATGTTTTTAAATATTTTTGTCATTACTTGCAGTAAGCAACATCACCCTCGCCAAACCAGACAGAGGCAAGATGCTGGAGAACATCCTCATCACCAATGCCCAAAGAGGAGCCTTCAGAAGCAAGGTAAGCCAGCTGTTTTTCTTTTACTTTTTTAGCTGCTTACCAATGTTCTCTTTATTTTTCATTCCTTATCTGATGACCTGACAGCTCTCCGAAGAGCAGCTGATAGAGTTCCTCGAAACGGTGAACACTCAGATTTCAACAAAGAAAACTACTGTAACGGTAAGTGGGCGATGATGCTGTTAGCGATGATGTTAACAAGCATTCACACATACAACAAGCACAGCTGACAAAACACCACTAATATCGATTGTCCTTCTCCCTCAATTTCGTAGTACGACCGCCGACGTACGGCAATTGACGATTCAGACGACGATCTCGATGATCTGTGATCATCAGCTCACCGTCATACCTCACCGTCACTACTCTCTACCGTTTCTTGCTCTACGGTATTCACAAAAAACTGCAACTCCTCTCGATCTTGCCAATGAAGGTGAAAAAGAAGATGTTTACCCAGCACACACACACTCAGCATTGTGATTTAATTACTGACCGCTGATTGATTTTATATTAACTACACACACACACCTTATAATTGTTTGCATTCAGTAACTGCTAATTATGTTGATGATGCTGATGCTGATGATCATCCCCAATACTGCTTTGACATCAGCAGCAGCAGTTGATGCTAAAAATAAACACTGAAAAGAAAGACTTTAAAAATTCCCAGCTCAATTCTCCAAGCAGTGATGATCATATCGAGAGCGAGTTATTGACTCTTGACGCAAAGTCACCATCACGACGACTAAAACGACTTTCTCCACACTTTTTCTCCTTTTTTCGCCCCTGCACTTGTCTCACGTGAGCCGAGTCGACATGTTGATGCTATCCCTGTTTCTCTTCCTTCTCTTAGAGAACGAGGAAAGCTGAAGTGTGAAGTTGAAGTTCACGGAGACGACGACGATCATTCACGTCACAGAGAAGGCAAACTTGGTGCAAAAGGGGCAGCAGAGTAAATGAGTTGCCAAAAGTACAAAAAGCCATTTGCCGCTTTCTCTCTCTCTCTCTCTCTCTCTCTCTCTCTCTCTCTCTCTCTCTCNCTCTCAACTTGCTCAGCAAGCTCTTTGTCCTTGTGAATCTCGAGCCTCAAGAGGTAATCTATCAGCATCGTCTTTTCATGTTCATCTCTTCATCCTACCTCCTGAAGGAAGGAGGTGTGTGCAGTGGGTGATTAGTATCGTGACTGGTTTGGTGGTGCATCAAAAAACTCCATTACAATCGGCACTAAAATAGAAAAAAACATTCAAACTAACTACATAGTTTCTTTATCGGCAAAGAAGAAGACAGACTTTTTTCTTTCTAGTTTTCTCTTTCTCCTTTAACGACTCCATCCGTCATCCTCCTCCTCCTCCTCGTTTTCTGTTCTTTAACTCTGCCGACGGCTTGCCTCTCTCTCATCCTTATCATGCCACCCTTCTTCTCTTCGACGTCACCCACAGCTCTCTCAGGGCCAACGCCAGCTTTTCTCTCTCTCTCTCTCTCTCTCTCTCTCTCTCTCTTCTCACTTTTAGCAAACTCGAGACTTTTCTCTTTCCTAAGCTGCTTAGCACGCGCAATGGAATGAAATCGAGAGAGAAAGAGGAAGGAGAAAAGTGAGCTTTCACTCTAAGTACACTTCTCAGCCTCAGCCTGAGCTATCAAGAGTACTTCATTAGTTAATTGCGTGTATCAGCCACTCTCTTCTGTCAGCAACTGGCAGGCAACCCATTCGGTGAGGAGGAGAAGGAGAAGGAGAAGGAGGTACTCGATACTCAAACTCTGTTTTGACAGATGGGCAACAAAAACAACAGAGGAGATGAAATCGATGATGCACTTATCATCACCACTGATACTGGACAATGACCGCCGTGAGGACCAGATTAGCCAAAAGAGGGAAGAAGGAAAGAAGTGGCACGCAAGATGTGCCAGTGCCGGTGTGTCAGCTGCTTTCAAACTTGAGCTGAAGGATCAACAAAGAAAGAGGAGGAGGCAGCATCATTTATGACGTCAGGTGAGCAGGCAGGCAGACTCGGCAATTGAGTAGTAGTCACTTGGTGCTGGTGGTGCAATTTCCTACCAATCGCCGATGATTCACTCAAATTAGCAGTGATCACTCTGAGCTTCTCTTTTTTATGTTTTGTACGTCACCAAAACTCGACACCTGTTTTCCTTTCCTTCCTTCCTTCCTATCCTCTTTCACGACCAATAGCTTGCAAGACTCGGAAGAGAGAAGTTCAGAAAAGACAAGTCAGCCTGCACCGTTAGCAGCAATCGAGCATCGGTCACTCCACTCACTCACTGGTGGTAATAGTTTCCAATGAATGACATTCTCTGAATGGTGATGGTGGCGGCGCCGGTGGTGGTATGGTCACACCGGTCGTCATCACCACCGACGTAATCTACATACGTAATTGGCAGGCAGGCAGGTAGTACCAGTGCTGTGGGTGCTGCTGCTGCATCAGCAGACTGTCAGCAGGAGGACTACCTCGGGCGATGCTGTAGCAGTGGTAGGGCACTTTCAGTTTGCTTTGGCTGTTCCTTTGGCTGCTGCTGCTGCTGCTACTGATCACTGGTTAGTCTGTCGCAGCCACAGTAGCTCGATCAGTCTGCTCTGTCGTCGATGGAGACACACTCTCTCTCCTGCTCACTCTAGCTCACATGCTTCTTCTTCTTCTTCTTCTTCTACCTCGACGACGACGACAACTACTGCCGACATCAGCTCAGTCCACCAGCAGCTGGAGGGAGGCAGAAATAGAAGCTAGAAATAGAAGCTAGAAATCAGCGGGCGCGAGAAAGTTTTTCTACTGTCAAATTCTTGTTCGATTATCATCACACACTGTTTCTCTCCCGGTCAGTGCCATCACTGTTTCAGTCGTCAACGACATTCGTCCCCTTCTTTTCCATCGATTGTGTGCATTTTTGGGGATGCTCAACTCTCGAGAGTGCCACACCGTGCAGAGTCCTGCACCCGATGACAACCACTGTTGCTGCTGCATCTGTTGATGCCGCTGCCTCTCACTCTTTCTCTCTTTCTCTCTCACTCTCATCAACTCAATTGCCTGTCACTTTAGTAGTCAACTAAAACAGCACTGAGCAGTCTGTCTGAGCAGCTGTTGAGTACTTTACTCCCTGAGCACTGTCAGAGCTCACTAACTGCACCGGCTTTGCCATCCACTCTCTCCGACTCTCTCTCACTCACTTTATTTAGTACCCATTTCTTTTTGGCGTTGGTAACCGAACTGCAACAACAACCACCACCACCACCTCCACCGCATAGAATTGCAACAGATCAACATCAGCGGAAGAGGAAGTGCTGAATGTTTGTGCAGTGCACTGCAGTCGCTTCCTCATTGTCAAACATCAACTCCTTTAACTTCAACAGCAAGCACACTGTTGATCATTTTCTCCTGTTTAGTCATTAAATAGCGTCATCGCTAACAGCGCGAGCCCTGGTTGCTACCACCACAGCTAAGCATCAACCAAACATCATTGACATTGCCAATTAACTGGTAATCATGTGCTCATCACCAACACCTTCTCATCTTCCTCATCACCATCCTCACCATCGCCATCATCATCATCATCGGCACTGTTCTATCACCACCACCACCAGCTAATATCCAGTTTCATTCCCCAAGTTCTCGTTGACGTGCTAACATCTATCCTCTATGTGCGTTGTTGTTAACTTCTGTGGACTGTTTTGTCTGTTTTTATCAGTAGCTATTCTACTTCACTAAATTGAACAACTTGAGCAAATAGAACTGTTATTTTGAAAAGTTTTTACCCAATCGACCCAACCCAGCACCTTCAGTTTGATCACTGCTCAGTTTTTTTGGTTAGCTCCAATAGCTGATCAGCATCAACATTTTGTACAGCAGTATTTTGTACAAACATCCGCAATCGATTCACTGGTGCTGTCGCCAGTTTCTCACTCTCTCACTCTCAATCTCTTGCCTCGTTAGCCTCGTCGACGATATCAGCTTGGCCTGTCTGTCTGTCTGTCGGCCTGTCTCCAGAAAGGAAAAACGTGAGAGGGAAAGCTGTGTGTTTTTGTGTGCGTGTTGTACATCATCGCCTGCCACTTTCTATACTTGCACTAAAGAAGCAGCCTTTTTCTCAATGCCAGTGCTGCAACACACCACCACCACCACCACCACCAAATAATAATCAACCAGAAATCATTTGTTTGACACTCGAGGTTCTTTCTTCCCAGTTAGCAGCACTACTACTATTCATTGCCACACCAACACTTACAAAAATAGCTGCAGAAAAAAATATTTTTAAATCAGTAAAAATAAACTCTTCAGCCTGAAACCCTTGAGCATCTCTCTCCCCTTTTTTTCTTCCTCTTCCACCACTACCACCTCATCAAATTAAATAGTTTCCTCTGAATCCTTACAACACAAAAAAGCACTGTGAGTTATTTGCGCTACCCCACAGCCAATATCGAAAGCTCTCCTTTCAATAGAGTACCACACAACTGCTGCTTTTCACTGGAAATGCTGATTTCCTTTTCTCAGTACTCTGCTCTCCTTCTTTCACTTTTTTCCTCTCGATCAATCACAACAACAACAACAATACCGATGATGGTCGTGGTTAGGGTTTCTCTGCCTGCCCGGGAGCAAGCACCTCAATGAGCCCAAGAGTTGAGTGAACTCTCAGGCAGAGAGTCAGTCAGTCTTTTTCACCCTCTCATTTGCTGAAACAGGAACAACAACACTGCAGCTGCTGCTTTATGATACCGGGAAGAAAAGCAAGCTTCACCGGCACTTTGCACTTTGCTTTCTTTTACTATTCAGCATCTCAATGGTCTTCTTACCCCTCCTCTGCCATCTTTTCATTGCCATTTAATGGCAGTGCTGCTGATGGCAAGCTGCTGCCATCACTAACAAAACGAGGAGGCGGCAGCAAAACTGAAGGCGACACTGTTTACTTTTGCCCGGCCCTGTTTGACAGCTGATGGCGCCGCCAGTGCTTCAGCTTTCATTGATTCTCGCTGCCTTTTACTTTCTTTTCCGTTTTAG